TCGTGGCGGCGTGGGGCTGGCCGAGTGCGAAGCCAAAATGGTGCGCTCGTGCCAGAATGCTTGAGAGGAGGAGGAGGAGGAGGAGGAGGAGGAGGAGGAGGAGGAGGAGGAGGAGGAGGAGGAGGAGGAGGAGGAGCAGGATGAAGAGGAGGAGGAGGAGGACGAGGAGGAGGAGGAGGAAGAGGAGGAGGGAGAGCGAACGGGGAGGAAGGTTTCAACCACGGCGGCGTCGGGAGGAGGTGGTTGAAATGAAAGCCGGTCGAGGAGGAGGAGGCGGAGGAGGATGAGGAGGAGGAGGAGGAGGAGGAAAAAGAGGGGGAGGAAACGGGGATGTCAACCACGGTGCCGTCAGGAGGACGCGGTTGAAATGGACGCTGCTCAAGGCGGAGGAGGAGGAAAAGGAGGAGGAGGAGGAGGAGGAGGAGGAGGAAAAGGAAGGGGAGGAGAAGCAGCAGCAGCGTTAGCAGGAGCAGCATCATTCTGATAGTGTGCATGTTCCATACAAAATTCAGTTTTCATGTGGGGTCCATCCGTTGGGGTAATTTATACCTCCGGCGCCTCCTCCAAGGGACATTCCGCGATCCGATCTGCAAAATGACACAAAAAGGCACTTGGCACTCCCGCGGATGCACAACATGAGCAGCCCGGCGCAGCTGGAGCTAGCCAGAAAACTATTGAAGTGAGTGCCCCAGAGGGGGCTCAAAACTTTCTTGCTCGACTTGCCAGACCCCCTACTGCGGAACCGATTGTGAATGACCTGCAGTCTTCCCAGCCAGAAAGGCTTGATGAGGGTGACGGAGCGGGGGATACGTACAATTTTGACTTGTTAATGCCTCCAACGGATCCCGAAGGCGATGACCCCGTCTCGATAGTCGTCAAGCTGGTACGATATCTTTTGGTTACCCACTCTTGGATTGCAATCTAGCAAAACATATTTGCCACTTCGTGATAAATTAATGTGGCTCTGGCAAGCTCGCCCTTGTGGGCTTCAGCTTGAAGGTGTTGCAGAGCTGTCTGCTGAAGAGGCAATCTTTCTGAGGGATGACATGATCACCTGGGCACTTCGCTATGTTACACAAGCAGATGAAAAAAAGGGTGCCCCAGCCGGCGGTTGACCCCCAACTCAGGGAACTTGGCCTCGCGCAGTTACCCCGTCTTTCTGGGAAACGGATGCGACGCATAATCAGAACTGGCAATATATTGTTGTCTTCAATGGGCGGGTGGTGACCCGCGTGAGGTATCGCATCTGCCGCGATGGAACCTTGTGACGACAGGACAAACACGTTTCAATGACATGTTTAGTATCGTGCATTTGACATTGGTTGAGCAAAATGCACGCAATGCACAGCAAATGATCTGGAACATGATATTTTCACAAAAATGGTTTGCGTTTGAGGTTGCTCTCTCGCAT